GGCCACGCGGAGTAGGAGGTGCACGCGGAGTAGGAGGTGCACGCGGAGAAGGCGGGCCACGCGGAGTAGGAGGTGCACGCGGAGAAGGCGGGCCATGCGGAGTAGGCGGCGCACGTGAAGGCGGGCCACGGCCCTGCACCGCGCTACAGGCTGACAGGAAATGCTGCACAGTGTCTCAAGGCACAAGAATTTTCAAGAAATGCGTAGAAGATCCTCTGTTAAGTGAACAAAGGAGCAGTTCGGAGAAGAATTTGTGCCGATTCTATTTAAAGACCTCTCTCACCCCCCAGCCCCCCACGGTCACTGGTCTAACAGCAGAAGAGATGGCAAAGGTGACAGTCAAGTGACATCAATAAAGGAAAGTAAAATTTTTTTTTATAATAATCAACAGAAAACGGGAGCTGATGCCCCCCCCCCCCCCCCCAAGCCTCCTCACCGGGTCCAACAAAGGACTGAGCGCAAAAAAACTACAAGAAGGCTATGAAAGCGAGCGAGGGAGCGACTGCCGTTAGGATCTACATCTGCATGGTCCTGCCAGGTCTCCTGTGGCATGGTGATTCACGGACGGCCCCGGCAACAGCGGCTCCTGGCTTCGAATCGTCAGTGAGGATCAGAGCGTCGATGAAACAGGCAGACAAACGAACATGGGGGGGGAGCGGTGGGACCCCGAGGCAGCGGCGTGCCGATGGCTGAGCACAGGCTCCGAGGATCAGGCCCACAGCACTAACACTATAAAAGAAACAGACACTTCGTACAAAAATGAGGGGGGTCCACACAGCAGCAGCATCAGAAGCGTCCCTGCTTGGCGTCCCCGATGGCTCCCCAGACGTCGAAGACGAACTCGTCCGGAAAGGCAAAGTCACCCAGGGCCTGGTCCAGCGCCATGGCGAACTCGTCTGGATTGTGCTTATCCCGGCCCACCTCCACCATCGTCGAGGCTGAGGGGAGTAAGGGGCCGTTTCAGTGACGTGCGTGAAGCAGCATACAGGCGCTGCTGAACGGCAGGGGGCGGCTCAGCCGAAACGGGCCACCCTGATTGGTCCATTTATTTCTGAGACTTCAAATCTACAGATGATGATGAGATCAGGACGGTGTTTTTGTGTCGAGACGTGCTCCTTGCTCACCCAGCTCTGTGTCCCGGATCCCCATGTAACTCTCCAGAAGATCATCCACCTTCTTGATGGCCTTCTCCTCAAACTCTGTTGGCTGAAAAAAAACACCATCAGGTTGAGCATGAAGACGCAGCCACGCCGTTAGCTTTAGCCTGGCGCCGCGGCTCGGCGTGCCGACGCTCACCACGTCCTCCACGGTGGCAGGGCCCTTGGCCCGGAGCCGCAGGGTCCCCCTGCCTGCCCCCAGGCGGCTCTCCCCGGCCATTTTGCCGCCCCTGGACCGTGGCTCCAACATTTCTGTGAACAGGAGACAAGAAGCAGAGGAATGACCCTCGCAGCCTACAGTGACATGACAAGTGGTCACATGACCACTGCGTCCATCAGGGTGTGACTCTTGCAGCCTAATATCAGTGCATCCTAACCCTCAGAATTCTTAGATTTCTGTAGCTGGAGGTTAGAAAATAAGCCGGAAACCACGATGAAAGTTCCCCCCCCCCCCGAATGTACTGCACTGCATCATGTTGGTGGCTTCTCTGAAATAATGACAGAAGGGAGCCACTGAGGGCCCCCCGGCCACTGACACCACCCCCCCCACCCACTTTGACTTTTCTCTAGCCCACTGAAAGCCACCCCACCCCCCCGGAAGCCCCCATCCCATTTTCAATCTTAAATACACTACAAGAACCACACTTCACATAGGCAGAGAGATCATGCTGGAGTCAGGGGGGCCGGGGGGGGGAGTGGGAGGCGGTGATGAGCCACCAGGAGAGCCCATTTCCCAGGTCACAGTGACCGCGGCGGTAGGCAGACAATGTGCCGTGGGCCAGGTTTCCGTACTGCCGCCGCAGATGGACACCACGGGGGGGGGCGGTGGGGGGGCCCAAAATGAGGCCTCTGTAGTGCTTATTACCCTGTACCTGAAGGCCTCAATCGCACGGCTCAGCATTCCCGCTCCACTCCATCAGCCGCCCGCTCGGGGTCTTTCTGCCCGGAATCCCAAAGGGGGGGGATTGGGATAATGTGGACGCCGGGCCACTCTTCGAGGGAGGGGTTAATGTGGGGGCTTTAGGAAGGTTTCCCCTCCCCTAATGCATCGGTCATTAGCCGCCCAGCACGTCATCTGGTGTCATCAATAAAAAATGCTCTCATTAGAAACGGCACTGTCCGACAGAGCCGGACGCAAAGCAGGACTGCGGAGGGCGATTAAGGAGGCTAAGCGGCGGCCTGCTGCCACTTCCAGGGGCAGGATCTGGGTACTAACTGAAGCTGGATCAGACACAACGCCAAATTTAACCCGTACTGACATGCTGCAGGTGCCCTGATCAGAATGGCAGCTGCCATTTCCAGTCCGGCTCACAGATCCGACTAACGAATGTTGATGTGAATCTTCAGGGCCATAAAAGCCACATGTCTGTGTCCTACAGCTATCTGCTAAATGGTCACACCCGTCACACACCGGCGATTACGGCAGGGTTCGAACTGCCCAACACATTCATCACCAAAACAAACAGGCCGGTCTGGACCAGATCACAGGAGAACGGGAGGCTGCTGGCCTGTGAGATGCCAGACACATCATAACCTCAAAGACCGCGAGAGCACCCCCCCCCCGGCTGAAACGGCACCTCACGGGGGGGAGGGGGTTGGTGGGGGGCTAGCCTCACCCCATGAGCACCGGCACACAGTGGTCCATCAATCACCAAGACAAATGGGTTCCGCTCTCAGTTCTGGAACTTTCCGGGAACTCCAGTAGAGGGTTGATGCAGCGGACAGTGGTAAATCTGTCCCTGACAGTTTGACTCCCCCTACTGGCCAGATGGAGGCTGCGTGCACATTCGTGCATTAAAACTGCGCTTCTCTAAGGAATGGGGGAGGGGCCGTAACTCAGTCGGCTTTTTTCACATCACGAGGGCGAGTGATTTAGGAGACTCGCTTCCCAGCCTCGCCACCATTTGTCCAATTTTCCATTCCGGTATTTGGCTGAGAGAATCAGCTTTGAACTCTAGACACTGGTGCTCCAACTTAAAGCACGCACCTCAAAACTATGGAGGAAGTGGCACAGCCAGTCAGAAAAGCTCTCCTTTGGAAACAAGCCCGGTGATAGGCTAAGTCGTCTAAGATACCAAAAAGGGGGGTTTTAGCATGGCCGGTCGCTCAGTCGGGACGTTTTAGCGTGACGCTCTACAGAGTGTCATTTATGTGCCTCATGAAGCTGTCACTGCATGTGTTCAGTAAGGTGACAGGCTGGTGTTTACTAACACCAGGTGGTCTTTCTGACCCAAAGAGCGGATTTGCCAGCTCATGGCAATTATAACAGCATAACGAGATGTTTAGGCGTTTGTCAGTCACTCACCAAAGGCCTTCATGGGCTCCACCAGCTTGAGTTTGAAGGTCTGGCTCTTCGGAAGCTCCTTCAGCATACGTGCCACCTCATAGTGCCGAGTCCCCACGATGTTCTTCCCGTTGATGGACTCTATGTGATCGCCCACGCAAATGACCTTCACGCCGTCGGCCACGCTGCCCTCCTTGATACGCTGAGATATGGACATGGGAGTGTGGACAGTGGTTTACAGAAGGAAGGACAGACAGACGGATAGACAGGGAGAGAGAGACAGAAAGAGACAGACAGACAGAGACAGATGGACAGAGACAGGCAGGTGGACAAAGGGACAGAAACAAAGTACAGTGGAGAGAGAAAGGCACAGATTGACAGAGACAGACAGGTGGACAAACAGGCATTGGGGTGGACAAAGGGATAGACGGACAGACAGGCAGGCAGGTGGACAGACAGAGGGACAGACAGAGGCATGAGCTCGCTGGCACGCAATTTGAGGGTGACCTCTGTGTTGTATAAAGACTCAGGGGTGAAATGATTGTACACGCATTAAATGCGGCATGGAATTCCAAAGAGCAGCAGCCCATCGTAGATTTCATGGTACAGTGTTGCTGTGCGGTAAACCACAATAAGACATGTTTCCTGTGTGCAGCAGGCGTCCGTAGCATTTAATTTTACTCTTTTAACCCTGAACCTGAAGTTGCTCCTGGACCTCATCGCCCCCTTAAAGACATTGCCAAGTCAGCTGCTCACAAGCAGCCTGGCCAAGAGTGACACCTGCTGACAGAAATGCGAAAGTGCAGCTGGCGGGTAACTGGGACATGCTTATTGGGTCACGAAGGGCGCCCCGATCCTTCAGCTGCTACTCATCACAGGCCATGCAATTCCTTCGTTTGCAGCTTAGCGGGACGCCAAAGTGCTCCTCCATCCCGGGGGGGGGGGGGGCAGCTGACAAATCAGTTACACATTCCCCCCCAAGGGTTTCATTCAAGGACGCCATGAATGCTAATAATCTGAGCGATTACCTCAGATTACTCGCTAATATTTTCTTGCTTGGGAAATGCCCTTATTTGGGATTCTTACCAGGCATTTACAGAGCGAGGGGTTACAGAGCTCAGACACCACATTCGGGACTCTACCAGGCCCGCTAAACCTGAGATTCGGGGCAACAACACACCAGTCATGAACCACTTCCTTGAATTCCTGGGTTCCTGTGTCCCATCCAGTACTACTCAGGGAAACATGGCGTTGCCTCTAAGGTATAACGTGCTGAGTTTTGATGGAGGCACAGCGACCTGCGGCCCACCTTTATGAAGGCATATCCAGCCCCGTTGTCCGTGATGGTGAGCCCCAGTGCATCCTCAGCCTTCAACACCTCCACCTCCTTCTTGATCCCCTTGATGTGGGCGAAGATGAAGTCCTCCAGGCCGATCTGACCCCCGAGAAGCTTCTCCATGTCAATTTTGTGAGTGTTGAGGGTGCAGAAGAGGATCTGGGGGGGGGGGGGGGGCAGCTTTTAGGTTTCTGTACACATGCACTTTAGGAACAACAAACACACTAGACTGAGGTGTCCAGAATTTGCTCATTTAATTTAATTTAAATTCAACCTAATAAACATTTAAATAAGCCAGTGTTAGCCCTTTCCACATCAAAGCATAACCCCCACAATTACCATTTCCATTAGGTTACATCCATCCTGAAGTGGGCCCCTCCACACACAGAGCAGAGGCAGGACTCAAACCCCCAACAATGGAGATGTGAGGCGACAGCGCCCCCTACTGAGCCACCATTATATTACAGACTCATAGGCGCCATTTTGGGATTCATTCCCAAATTTCACACTTAACCTTTTACTTAACCTTTAAAATACGACATTCACCTCATGCTGAAGAGCATCATCATGTCTTAAAGGCCGAGGGAAAATTACTTTTTAAAAACAGGAAATCATAAAACTAGGTTTTAGAATGTGAATCATTATTTGTTACCGTCATGGTAGGCTAATATCCATGTTAAGTGGAGCCATTAAAATCTACAGCTTAAAATGTATCCCAGTGTCCTTTGCATGTGCCATACACGTTCTGAATATGACACACAAACCTGCCTTTACCACCGTCAAACATTCATCATGTTACTTTTTTAAAAAGGTGTGCATTAATAAGGCATGTACCTTTAACTTCAGTGTGACAAAGCATTCTCTAAACACACGTGTTCGGTTTCGGGGTGAGACAACAGCCTGATTAAATGTGTATCTGCAGTCATCCTGCTAGGTCCCGGTCCGAGATGGATCAGGGATGACAGATCAGGGATTTCCCTCACTCTCCACTGGGGAAAATGACCAATTGTCTAATGTAATAATCAGTATTACTTTAATAACTGTGTCTTTAGCTCAATAAATGTTAAATTTTGACCAGCAATATCGGCCAAAATTGACACGTCGGACCAAACCCAATATATCATCCATCTCTAACATGTGCACAGTCCTGGGTCAGACGGCTCATCTGACAGACCAGGAACTGTCCTGGCAAGCCGGTGGGTATTAGGGGTTCTAATCGTAAGATTCGTCATGATACGATTCCACCTCGATTCAATATGACGATATTTGAAATGTTACTGCGATATAAGTCGACTCAGTAATACATGATCAATATTTTCAATATAGTAAAACACAAGATGATTTTCATAGATCTGGGGCCTGTTTCACAAAGCAGGATTACTTGCTTAGCCAGATAACTTGCCAGATTTAAGGTAGTCTGGGCTAAATGTAAGCTGATGAAAATAAGGTCTATTTAGCCCAGACTACCTTAAATCTGGCAAGTTATCTGGCTAAGCAAGAAATCCTGCTTTGTGAAAAAGATCCCAGAATTCAAAAAGACAAATGTTTCATTTTATCAAGAGAGTACACAAAAATTTCGGCACTAGGAACACTGTCATATTTGTACTTAATGTCTGTATAGCATAGTCTGCAAACGTAGGAACCGAGGAGCGAAATTTACTGGGGGGATCCCAAAGTTCAAGGCCAAAACTCGATCCCAGTCCAGTCCTGGAACTGTGTGTTCATGCAGGATTCTCTACAGATCAGACACATTCACCATTCGGTTTATCCCTAGAAATAAAATCACTGTCACACGTGCAAGACCTGGGCTCACATCTCACCCCCCCCATGTCAGAAGGAACAAACACAGGCCAACAGCAGGGAGCAAATCAGCGCCGTTCACTGTCCGTCTCCTGTGGTTGTGATTAACAAAACAACGCATTCAAAATCGCTGGCTGGGCCTCCTGTGATCATGTGACCTGAGAGTGACCTTTTCACAGCTGCATGTCACCCAGACCACCCAGAGTCTCCCCCCCCACCCAGGCAGGGGAAATGCGACACCCTGCCATTCATGGGGCAGCGGTAGGCATTGCCTCATTACCTCGCCGACCTGGAAACTGGAATTCGTAAATAAACAACCTCCTGACGGCAGCGGGAGCCGCACCCTCACCCATCTGGATGTGCGTCCGACAACAGAGCGGCGAAAGCGCCTCCTGCCATGCAGGCAGCTCCTGCCTTTCCTGCCTCTCCTTCTCATCTCCTCCTCCTCTCCTCTTCCATGCCTTCTCTATTCTCCTGCCTCGCCTTCACCTCTTCCACCGTTGCCTCTCTCACCTCACCTTCCCCTCCCACCTCATCGACTGCTCTCCTGCCTCACTATTGCCTCTCCCACCTCCCCCTCTCCACCTCCCTGCCTGCTCATCCCACGCCGCGGCCATTCTGTTGTCGTAGGAACCGCTCGGGCTCCAGCTGACACAGGCAGGCTGGTTGCCCCTAGTAACCAGGGATTATGAAATGGGAAGAGATTAGGTGAGGTGGGGCATTACACAGAGAGGTGAAGTACCCCCCCCTTTCAGCCAGCTGGAGGAAACACTGAGCATGAAGGCACCATCAAGGCCCTTCGCTCCTCCTGACTCTGGGGAGGACGAGTAGGAGGCACTGAGGAGGACAGAGATCAAGGTTCAAGACGACAGCCTTCATTATGCACATCAGCCAGGTCCAGAGCAGCCCAGCTTGTAGAGGCCTCCTCCACCCTGACTCACAAAAGCCTCTGAGAGCAGCCACCGTCATTTGGGGGGGGGGGGGGGGCTGAGAAAGCAGCTTTATCACCAGCTGCCAGTGTGTGGAGACCAAGCTAGTCACAAGTCAGAGACGTCAAAAACCAACGGAGAGGGGAGCATGAAGCACAATCGGACTCTCAGTTAATACACGCAGTTATTAATTTCACCTCAGGTTAGAAACATTTCTGCTTTGGGAGAGACTGATATGGTCTGCAGGACATGAAGCGCTGACAAGGCAGAGGCCTGCAGAGTGAAGCGTAAAACTGAGGGCACGGCACCATAAAACCCGTCATTCATTAAAAGATGACTAACTTATAGAGCTGAACGCAAGGGAGCCGCAGACACCTTTACTGAAAGGCTCGGCTCCGGAAGAGGGTGCCTGTTAGACTCTGATCCCCAGCGATTCTGAAAACCTTAACTTCACGTTTGTGAAGTTAACAGAAAAGGTTCTGGAGTATCCTAGTCTAGGATTAACCACAGGAATATTTCTTAAATTGACCAGCAATGTACTGAGGAGGCAGGTTAGCACACGCGGCGGCCAATCAGACGCAGCTGCCGGCGAACGGCTGAGTTTCCAGCCAAACTCCTGCCATTCCAAACCCAGGGGGTCTGGCTGCTCAGTCCATGTCATGTGACTTCCCAGCAGCCCACTCCCCCCATACGGGCACCACAGCGAAGGTGACGCAGCCCGGAGTCTTTACACAAAGCAGCAGAAATGCAGCGTGTTCGGACAGGTCCCAGGCTGCCACAAGGTCGCAGAACCTGCTCACTTATAAAGCAGATGACAGGAAATCTTTATGAACACAAAGTTCAAGTTGCGGGAGAGAAATACTTCAGTGCAAAATCCAGTTTAAAAGCCACACACATAATGTGCAGCCATGGCTCCTATGAGGAGGCTGCAATGAACAGGTGCATCCTGGGATAGCGTCTCCCCCCCCCCCATAGGGAGGCCTCCAAAAACGTTTAGGCGCCCTAGAGTCACGGCTGCGCTTGATCCTTGCTCTGGGTGCAGATTCCCAACAAATTCTGGATTTTAACCTCTGGCCCTTCCTGTGAAAGCACTGCAGCCCAGTGTGCGGGGAAGCAGATGGATGAACTGAACTCAAACTCTTTTAATACCATAATGAAAATGGAGAGCAGCCCTAAGTAAACGGCAACATGATCCCACAAGCTTAGCCCCTATCCTTCTTAAGGAAAGCCTTCCAATTACAGTAGCATAACCACACTGTTCTGCGCAGCACAAATCGGGGAAAAAAAAACATACATTTTAGCATAAACTGATAAAGACAAAACACTGGTAGCAGAGCAAACAGCTGAATCGGCAATAAACTGGAGGTTCACTCCCATTGGGGTAAAGTGTCCATCATCGGGCGCCAACCAGCCGCAGGAAAGTCAGGAACAGCCGCTACAAGCAACCCGTAAGCAAAGCAGTGCAGCCCCCACCCCAGTCCCCACCCGCGGCCCCCACCCGCCCTGCCAAGAATAAGTCGACTTTGCCCGGCGCCATGACTCTCTATTACACCATGTACTTTGGCGCCTATCAGGACGTGAATCACGCCTGCATGAAGTCCCACCTGACATGAAGGCTGTCAGATCGTTAGAACAGAAAAGCAAACAGAGGAAAGCAGGATCCCAATCCTCTGCCTCCCTCTGAGGGGATTTTGCTTCTCTGAGCAACGTCCCAGACCACATCCTACGAGCTGATATCACGGAGACTCAGAGCTCAGGCTGTGCTACAGGCCCTTAATCTCAACTATACGCCAAACATCTCTAAGTCCACCATGAATGTTCTATTCACATTGTGTGCCTGAAAACAGGAGCTGCCAAAAACACTGACCAAGGCCACAACACTCAAAACAGGAGGAACGCAGTCCACATAGCGGCCGCCCCCTCTGGGAGCCACGGGCCGGGTTGGTAAACCTTCCGGGGTGAAAGATCAGAGGGGAAAAAAGAACTGCTGTCTGACTCCAGAACATTCTGGTGGTAGTTAGGGGGAGGTCAGCGAGAGCAGCGGCACCCGGGGGAGACCCAGCGCTGCGTTTATCAGCCCAAAAGGGGGCCGTGCCCAGCAGGCAGGATGTGAGGGACTTCCTCAGATGGGCTAAGAGGTCCCCCTCACCCACAGGGCACGTTAGCAGCCGCAAAACCGTCACCGGTCCAGCCACACAGCAGGCTGACGGCGATCTGGCACCGGGGCGGCGCTGCCAGAGGTTCTATGTTTGACATGTTTGACACGACTGCAGAACGCTGGGAAACACAGAGGTTCCCTGACATTAACCGCTTGCTCACCGCCGTGTTAATACCAGGGCGATCCGGTCATGCAACAAGCATCACGCAAAGCAAAGGATGACCCAGATACAGGTATTATAAAAGAACCACTAACAAAGTGTTTTATATATACATACAAAAGTACTTCACCTAGAGAACCATGATCGAGACCCTAAACGGTGTCAGTTTCTAAAGACAGACGGAGGTCACACCAAAGCCCCTGTTGATTAGCCAGTGCCGGAGTGACACCGATCACGTGACGCCAGTCCCACTGCCGTCTTTACTGAGAGGAATTTCGTGTCACTCCTTGTTGAATGTTTACACGTCTTAAGCACCCGGAGGTGTTCCTCAGTCGTCAGACTGGTTCCTCGGTGGCCCTGGGGCCGACACCCCCTCCAGCGTAAACGCCAGCGTATCGAGTCCCACAGACAATGTCACCATGTCACAAAGCCTCTTTATAAGCAGGACAACGTCACATCTGGCTTCAAAACACACTTCCTTCTGTGTAGGGTTACAAGCTGCGACCCAACATTCAGAAGGTCTTATGGCCAAATACTTCAGCATTAAAAGGAGTACATGGATAGATAATCCAAAATATTAGATAAATAATTTAAATTTAAAAAAAAAAAAAAAAAAAAAAAATCAAAGACAGACGTGAAGTACTATTATTTGCGTGACATGACGCCCAGCAGCGTACCGATACGCCGCTCGCAGACCCTCCGGGGGGCATGTGCGCGTCCCCTCCGCCCGGCACAGGTGGAGCAGCAGGAGGCGGCGCCCCACACCGCCTACCTCGGGCGCGCTCAGGTTGAAGGCCTCCGCGATCTTGCCGTAGAGCTCCCGGACGTTACTGAAGCCCTCGATGCGCCCAGTGGGGCTGCCGTGCGCCAGCTGCGTGTGGAAGACCAACCGGGGCCGCAGGCTGGCGGGCGGCGGGGGCAGTCCGGCTCCATTCGCGGAGGGCTTGGCCGCCGAGCTCCCCACCTCCTCGTTCTCCACCAAGTTGGAGCTCTCCCGGGACTTGCTCTTCTTTTTCCTCAGTCCCAATGGCATCTTGTTTATTTTCCGCAGTTAAATATATATATAAATATAAATATATCAAGCGACGGAATGGGTGTAAGAAACGCGTCCTGCTGTTACTCCGCACTCTGCAAACTTCCACCTCCAGCCCCGACCTGGTTCCTCGACAGTGACTCAACTCCAGTCTCGCAAATCAGATCTCTACATATTCAGCAGGTGGGTGGCGAAAGGCGGCGCGCTTCCTGCTTTCTCCACGCGCCGCGGGCGCCCGCGGGGCTGCAGCCGGGGCGAGCGCAGGGGGGGGGCGGCGCGCAGGAAGCGCACCTGGCGGGGCGCGCCTCCCCTTCGCGGGGTCGGCGCACCCACATGTGACTGGAGCAGCTGCGGGGGCGCGCCGCCCCACACAGGAAAACCACGGAAATCACATTTAAAGTTTGCGGCGAACTGCTTCTGTCCCAGGTACGTAGTGAGGACCCTTCATGAGCATTTATCAGCACCTTCAGTACGGTTTATGTAGGCTGTAATTGTAGAAGGATACAGTTGACTGGTATTTACGGGATATTGATATTACTTCGCGGAATTACATTTTTATGTACAGTAAGGAAATACACATTAAAACGTTCATTAAGAATGCTGTAAAACACCGGTTCTGACGGATCATTAGTATCTCTAAGGCTTTACGGACGTGTTCAACAACAGATTTCTGATAAAATGGGCGGATAGTGATAGAAGTGGCGCCCACTTGCGGCGCTAGTGGGCGCCATACTGCCCTCTGCCTTGGTACCATCTGGATTCATTCGTTTTAAGGAACCCATATATCCACAAACTACTGCAATGTCACACCCAGTCAGAAGTTTTCGCATCCACATAATCGGATTAACTGTCATAAGTGGGTCCCATTGTTAAGTTATTTAAACAAATGCTGTCAGTTTACGTCAGTTAAACGTTGTGGAGAAGTGAGTTAAAACTGTATAGTTACATATAACGACATAATCAGGAGATACACGCAAAAATTAACAACAGACAAATAGCACATCTGCCAAAATTATGATTATGATAAACAGTGTGTTTCTTCATTATGTTTCTCATAAGTTTTTTCACATATCCCATGTGCTTTTTATTTCATTATGTGATAACAAAAATGATTAAATGGTGAGATGAAACTCTGTCTTTTGGAATTTCCTGATTCCATCTTAATAAAAAGCAAGTGAAAAGTTGTTGATGCTGTCCAGGGTTTCAGAGGGTCAATCTCAGTTGCAAACTAGAGATTATTGCAAAACCCAAAGTATAGATTCCCACCGTGGGCCTCATAGGTTTGCACTGTCAGCTGACTCCCGCTTCCCCGTCTCTCAGGGACTGCACCTTCATCTTGTCACACCTGCTAATGTACGACCCCATTTATTGAATCAGAGATGCAGTTTTTCCCTTCCATTGCATTTTACAGCACACACGCTGAGCTGGTGACCTCGGTCTAACGTGTTCCTGCACTGTTCCCATCATTTGAATAATGCGGTTGGTTCTAGTTCAGATGGACAGTGATGTAGCAGTGGTAAGTCTCACTGCACATCCTCCCTTCACAGAACCATCTACCAATAGCTGTTTCTAACCACTATTCGGGCAGGTGCTCTCTCTGGCCGGACGCTCTAGGAACTGCAGCCCATGGGGCATTTCTCAAAGATGCTGTACAAAACCCAGATAAGCAAGTAAAGTAAAGAAACATCACGTGGAACCTTTACTTCCAGACATCAAAACATTTACTGACACTTCCAAGACTTGTTCAGCATGCAAGGTATTTTTCTTTAAAAATAAACACCATATAGATAAAAATATAAATTGCAGATTCTTTGTGAGGGTGGGGCGGGTTAGCGCCTGTCCGTGGGCGTGTGGGGGCACGCCAGTCCATCCATCCAGCCTGCTCTTTACGACGCCGGTAAATGCCGTTTCAGAACATCCTTCTCTGTAGCCGTCAGGCTCTCTGGGAAGTCGACGTCAAACTCGACCACCAGGTCGCCCCTCTGCTCCGGGTTTTTGGGGAACGGGAGCCCTTGGCCCGCTATGGTCCTCCTCATGCCAGGCTTGATAACATCCGTTATCTTCATGTTACACGTTTTCCCGTCTATCGTCGACACGGTTACTGAACAGCCGCACAGAGACTGCAATTGGAAGAAGATGACATAAAATATTAAAGATAAATCTGTCTGCAGGCTTGAGGCTCCTTACAGCCGCCTCCCACTCTGCACGGCATTATGCTGCTAAGTGTCCCATTCATAGGCTGGAATGTAAACTACCAGCAGTTAGCGGTAACTAGCGCTAACTAGCGGAAACAAGCAGTGGCCATCGGCTCGTGGTGCGGTGTGGGGCCTCATCACCGGGGTTTAACGCAGAGGAGTCGAGTCGGATGCCAGCTCTGCCCACATAATACAGTGCCCCCCCCCACCCCCGTTCTCGGTTCGCCTAGAGCTCAGATGAGAGCTCCTCGCTTAGCGGGAGTGGGCGGCCGCCTGTCTGTCCGCACCTCACAAGTGCGGAAGCTCCTGTTCTTACGTAACCAAGAGCATTCACACTTCCTCCAGGGGGCCGGAGTGTTCCCTGCTTAGAAAATGTGACCTTTAACAATCATCTCCACTCTCACAACATCTCTGTCATACAGAGACACGTAGTACCTGATCAGCCATATTTATCTTTGCCTGCCCAGCCTATTCATCTCAGAGAGGTGGTTGTAAATAGTTTCCTAAACAATTTCCTTTGAGACAATAAAACTATTCTGATTCTGATTCTTGTCACTTTTCCTTTGTCTTTTGAGATTTGTACACTTAGTCCGGTCCTGGATGTAATGGAATTCTACGTGTGCTATCATGATCCCCAAAAATCCCTTTGGGCTAAACTGGCTGCTTTGATTGGACAGCTGTATCCAAAGATCCCGGCCAAAGTGTTTTCTGATTGGCTCCCTGGCCTGGTACCCACCTGTCGCAGGCTGATCCGCACCGGGTACACGATGTTAGAGCCTTCCCTGCGGAAGTGCGCGTGTGGTTTGTCCTTGATGATGAAGACGATGTCAGCCGGGATGGTGTTGTGCGACTCGTCGCCCTCCCGGGGGAACGTGATCTTGGTTCCCTCTTTCCAGCCGCGCTTGATCTTGATGGTGAGGATCTTGTCCTCTGTGCGCACGGTGCGGGCGTCAGGGTTCAGCCGCTTGCGGGAGATCTTCATGCGCTTGGTGCAGCCGTGGAAGATCTCCTCCAGGGAGACGCGCAGTTCGTGGTGGATGGCGGGGTCCTGCTTGCGGTGGGGTGGCCCGGCGCCGCTGTGCCGCTCGCGGGGGAAACCGTTCAGGCTGAAGCTGCTGAAGGATCCAAAGGGCTCGCCGTCCACCTCCATGTCCTCGTCATCCCGCCCGCTGGCTGCCTTCCTGCCGAAGAACATCTCGAAGGGGTTGGCCCCGCCGAAGAAGGTGGCGAAGGTGGCGTGGGGGTCCCCGTGGAATGTGTAGGTGTAGCTGCCCCCCTGGCCGTCCGCGGGGCCTCCTCCTCCCTTCAGACCTGAACGCAAGAGGAGAAAGATGCCGCCTTTGTCAGCTCTCACCTAACACTGGACCACGCCGGTGCCAGCAGATCAGAAACAGCCACAGACAGGTTTTTAATCGCTCAGATTTTGTAACAGCTGACTTTGATGTCATCTGTTTCCCTTATAAATAATATCGCCTTATACGGCTGCTGCTTCCTGTCAGCCTCTGACGGATGTGAGGGACATTGCCGCTTTGCAGACGCTGTGTGAATGCGGTGTGGTACCCAGCATCCAGCACCCCCCTCCCCAGAACCTCTGTCAGGTCGTGTGCAAAAACACGCTAAACACACTGGGTGGGTGGGGGGGCAGAGTGTAAAGTCATGATGCTCAAAAAACACACCACAGACCACTACACACCATAAATATGTCAAAGTTACTGATTAATAGCAAACACTAGACAATAGAGTTTTTTTCTGCAGGATAAGACATAATGACTGCGCCCCAGATTCGACAACCACTTGGTTAGTCGCCAACAGGCGCCTCTATTGGCCACATAGACGGTATAAAATCTGTCAAAAGTCACACTCGTCATGCAGTAAAAGTCTGCCGCATTTTACACGTTTATCCTTAAAACTTAGCAGATACAATCATCTTTTATCACGCTGAAGAGGGCTCGCTGGACTGCCGGCTACCTAATGGGATTTAATGCGGACATTTATGGAGGAAGACCGTCTTGGCTACCAGATCGCATGCAGAGCTTTCGCTTGGGGATCCTCGCCAGGTCTCTCAGTTTACCCTTTCTAAAAAAGGACTTCAAATGACGAGGTTTGATCCTGTCCTCTTTGGATCTGACGCATACTGGTAAGTATTTCAAACACCATGACACCCAGGAGAACGCCCCCCCCCTCCCCAAGCCGCACACCCACCGCAGCAGACAGCGATAAAAACGCAAAAACAATAAAAGACGGAACCCACCTTCCTCCCCATACTGGTCATATATCTCCCGCTTCTTGGGATCGCTGAGCACCTCATATGCCTCGGCGATCTCCTTGAATTTCTCCTCTGCATTGGCAGCCTTGTTCTTGTCGGGGTGCCACTTGAGAGCCTGCTTTCTGTACGCCTTCTTGATGTCCTCCTCAGCCGCCCCTTTCTGAATGCCTAGGATCTTGTAGTAGTCTTTCCCCATGGCTGCGTGCGGAGCGCTTGCAGTTCCAGACGAGCACCGTTATCCTTATAAATAAATGCTGAGGAGGGGCGGGCGCTCGACTGACGCTGTGCGGGGCGGCGCCTCCCGCTGGAGCGTTCGCGGTTGCCCAGAGTTATTCGCTTTAAATAGCAGGAGCTCGGCGGCTCTTTCTAGAAAACACGAGTCCAAACGCGTCATTTCCCATATTCGGTCCTTTTTCAGTTCGGATGCTATAATGATAATTCGAAAACACGCAATTCACTCAAATAGCAAGAATCACGGCACGGTTTCCTGCCGGCCATTTAAGTATCGCATGGAGCCGACGCATGTCATAAGAAGCATTTCACTGGTCACCAAATAACTGAAGCAGAGAGAATGATAATCCCAAATCATCCCTAATCTGCCGGCAAGGTTTTGGAATTAAACGATTAACTCAGTTTTAAATGTGTCTACATGTATTATGGTGTAGAAAATTGATTCTGAAGCTGTCACTCGTAAACTCCGCAGTTCCAAGGTGCGAGAGACGGTGATGTTGGGATGGAAGGCGTGTCAAGCTTTACAAAAATGAATGCTTACACCCAAAGCCGCC